ATAAGATATCAGATATTCCATTCTCAATTCATATGTGACTTGAATGAAATCATATGAATCATATATTATATATCAAGTGTTCCTGTGGCTCAGTGGTAGAGCATTGCATTAGCAGCACAAAAGGTCATGGGTTCAATTCCCAGGGAACCTGCATACTGGTAAATAATGTATAGCTTGAATGCACTGTAAGTCGCTTAAAGCGTCTGCTAAATGCATAAATTATTATTATTAAATTACATGAGAACAGTGTATAATGTAAAATGAACCATATTAAATGACCACCAAATATAAATAAACCATCACAACATGAAAACAAACAAGGAGGAACCGGTTTCATTCATTACAATACCAAACTAGAATTCACAACACAAAAACATTGCTCCTGAAACTTTGAGATCAACAGATATTGTCTTTTTATGACCAATACAAGCTATAGCTCTTATATTTAAGTGTCTGATACAAAGAATCAACCAATTAATTTGAAGTAAATTCTCAAACCAATTATCAAACCCTCACTACACCAAATAACCTATATTCAGCTCTTTTTCCTTTTGTTTGCACTAGTGTTGTCAAAAGACCCGGTATTTCGGTACCAAGTCGGTACTAAAAACATGAAAACGTTACGGTACCAGTTTTTTAAAGTACCGGTGGTACCGAGTACCCGGTCAACCCGGAATACTGAAATTTTGGTACCGTGACAACACTAGTTTGCACATTTTAAACTAAAGCCTGTTGTTTTAAAGGCAATTGCTGGGCTATGAGTCCTTCTAGTGCTTTTCTATTGTGCATAAACCGTTCAAATCAGCATCAGGAAACATCATGAAACACAAAGCCAGTCTTGTTTAAACACTGTTTTGTAAGATTCTGTTAGAATGTTAACAATGCAGTAAGGCTTGTGGGAGATTAGACAGCGGTTTTAACATGCTACTTAGAACTAACTAGCATTTATTTTATGTTAAAGTGCTTATTCTTTCCAAGTAAGTGTAGTTACAAAAAGTAACTAGAATGTTTTTCTATTTCACTAGCAAATATTCATTACATACAAGTACGGTTTACTAGTCACCAGTCACCATGTATTGTCCCAATACAATTGTTACTGGTAATTATTACAAATTGCATATTTTGCCATCAAATTCAAGATGTACGCTTTAGATCAGAATGTATTATACTTGTTTTATTTCACTTTTACTAATAATTGTTTTATTTATTAGGTATTTGTTTTTTTTAGTTACTACTCAAATACTTACTAATATATTACAGTTCACCCAGTAGTAACTGAATATATACTATAGTAAACACTATAAATAAATACTATATAGATAGATACAGATCGTAGTTATTTTAGTATATATTTAATGGTACAAATGTAATAGTAATAGCTATAAAATAGCTACAATAAAACGTTTTTTATATTTATTTTCTTTCAGTTCGTTAATTTCAAGTCACTTTTTTGTTACATTTATTGTACTGTTACTAGCAATATTTTTTAATCTTAGTAGTCGTATTACATTTTTTAATTTACCTATAAATTAGCTATTCTAACTAATCACTGCATGTGACAAGTAGGAAATTATAAGCAGACAAAAAAGTCACTAGTAACAATGTATTAAAACCTAATAACAACAATTTACTAGTATTTACTTAAAAAGTACTAGCAACCATTAGACGTTATTAGAAGTCAATCAGATAAAGCTGAACAATTTCAATACAGACTAGATGAAAGAAAAAAAACACAGATCCCCATACAACTCAGTGGTACTTAAAAAAATGCAATTTGTTACCAGTTACCTCGCACTAAAGGAACAATAACTAGTACTTGCATCCAATAAGTGCTAGTGAGACTGAGAAAAATGCTAGTCATTATTGGATTACTTACTAGCAAATAACGTATTTTTAGCAATATACAGTACTAGCAACAAAAATAGGCACTAGTTAGCTCGGCTTGTTATAGGAGGTGATAGCAGTTATGCACAAAGCAGGCAGCCATGCGATGCTTCAGACATGAGCGTTACGTAATGCGCAGGGTTTGTTTATGGCTGCTGGTGCTCATCAAATGTAAGCAAAGCAAAGCAAAGCAAAGCAAAGCAAAACAAAGCAGCCAGAAAGGAGGTGTAACGTCAACACTAACACATGCAAACCGTGCCCAGATCCATATACCTGTTATTACGCAGACTGCCGAGCACACACAACACCTGAACCAAATATGTCACCATCGCATCTTTCGCGAACTGCGGGTCGCTCTCGACGGCTTCCACTCCGTGCTGCAGCGGGCTTAAACAGTCGTACAGCGGGGCGAACTCCAGCTGCAGCTCCCGCACGAACGAGCCGAACTTGCGCATGAGGAACTCTAATCGCGGGGTTTGTTCTGATCCAGATCCGCCGCCGTTGGTTCCGCCACCGACGCGCAGCTTGAGCTCCGTCCACAGCGCAGGGTAGAAGAGACACTCCCTCCAGCGAGAGCATACGGCCGAGGCCCGGAGCTTGTCACGGTCTGACAGGAAGGAGAATATGTGAACGATAAGCTCGCTGGGTAACGCCAAGGCTCCGACGCTACTGCACAGAGCCATGGCAAGAGGCTGGAAAGATGCAATGAAGATTAAAAACCGTAACCGTTACACAACTCCGCGCCTTCTCCTCTCCGCTCTGCGCTGACTAAATGAAAACAAACAACTGCGCGATGAGCTTTGCCTTCAATACTACTGGATCAGTCCACTTTCGCTTTCCTAATAGGGGCGGCAAGAAATTTATTAGGAGATAACGAGCACGTGCTGAGCGAAAATGAGATGTAAATATATTATGATGAAATATACATATTAGTAGACACAACTAGTGTCTGGTAATATTAATGCAACTGTTTATTTCGTGTAATGCATTTTTAGTCAATTGGGTGGTTGCAGTGGTTCCTTCCGAAAATGCCTTATTTTTGCCATACAACGAGTGGTCGAAGGAGGGTGCAAGAATTTTCCTTCTAACCACAGCACCCATTTCTGATCTCTTTTATCATTGGAATCAAATAGCCATGTGCACATGGTAATATGGGGAAAGAATACAATTTACATTCTAACCCTTAATGGGAAATATTATATACATATATCAATATATAGGTCAGCTGTACCAAATGGTAGGCTGATTTAAAGATTTAATGATTGTTTAATTTTTAGATGCAAGATGAAAAGTTATATTGGAATTGTAAGGACTTGTATGATTTTTTTTTTCATGTATTTCACTGTTGGAATTACAATTTAAAAAATACTAGAAAATAACTTTTAGAGACCTGAAAAGAATACAAAAAATGGCATAAATGGAGACTTCTAGTTAGGACTCCAAAGATAACTTTAGCTGTTAAGCACAGGGGTTTTCGATCAATCTGATGCCAGGGACCCCTAAAAATGATGACCCCTGTCACTTCCTAATATACAAAGACTGCTAAATATTTTTACTGTATTAAGACTATGCTATGTGATAAAAAGTGAGATTATTACAATAATAATAATAAACATGTAAACCATTGGTTGTGTGCTGTGATTGTGTCTAAAGACAAAAGAAATAATGAAAATAGTATAATTCTAAAATAGTGCTGTCAAGCGATTAATCACGATTAATCACATCCAAAATAAAAGTTTTTGTTTACATAATATGTGTGTACTGTGTATATTTATTATGTATATATAAATACACGTAAATGCATGTATTTATTTAAGAACAATATGTTATGTTTATATATAAAATATGTTTAAATATAATATAAATTATATGAACATAAATATATATATGTAAATATTTTCAAAATATATATTGTATGTGTTATTTTGGATGCGATTAATCGTATGACAGCACTATTATAAAATAATCCACAAAATATTTACTTTGTAAACAGTGTTTATTTTACACACTCCTGCTTACTGAATTCAGTTTCAGTTACACTTTTTAAAAAAAACTTATTAAATGTGTAACAAAATGCATAATAGAAATACACATAAAAACATGAGAAGGCCTGAGTAAGGTGGTGCTAGTTCTCATTTATTAGTCATTTCAAAAACATTACTGACAAGTTTTACTGGGAGTGCAGACAACACTAACCCATTCTTTTTTGATTGAACTTGATCTGGGCGAGGAAAGAGAAATCAATCTTGGTAATTATTTTTGTGAAATTATAATCTTGTCAAAGGTTAATCATGCTGAACAACATGAGTCTCATTTTTGCACAAATAATCTGACTTTTAAGGAGTTATGAATTAGACTATTATGTTATTAATAACACATTGAAAGATGAAAGTATGAAAATATTTCAATTAAAGGGTTAAAGAAGAAAAGAAGCAGTGGCATGTAGTGGTGCCTAAAACATTAAATTACAGCACAACTATAGTTGATTTTGTTGTGAATACTCCAGAAGAGGCTACACTCTATATACAGTAGGTTTATATAGAGATAGATATGGAATCATATTTAAGCTTTTTCATAATTATTGTACTGCTAAAACTACAAAATGAGAGGACCTCACGTGCTTGAAACTACATTGAAACAAACTGAAATCCATTTGCAAAATTTAAGTCAGACCTCTGCATCAGCTCACATTCAACAGACTAGAGTCAGCTTGAATACAAAATAACTTTCAATATGAATTTGTATAGATCTTTTAGATGTCTTTTGTAAATTTGTCAGCGTTTTAACGTTTTAATTACGTTTTCTATTCTAATAATCTATTTTTTTTTTCACCATGTTGACTGGTGTATTTTTAAATCTTTTTTTTTATTTTTTTTATTGCAAGTATAAACACTTAACTTCAACAATTAATGTAACATTGGATGACATTATGAATACAGAAATTATAGGAAGACAAAGAAGAAAAAAAATAAGAATACATAGATAAAACAAAAAATACAGAGGTAGTAAATCAAAATTATGTACCATTCAGCAGATCATTATACAGTTTCACTATTCTAATAATCTATGTAAGTAGAAATTGTTTACATGTGACGTCACTTCCTGGTTGACGCTGCGGAAGAGCTCGAAGACAGCAACAGAAAGGACTGAAGAAGACATGGCTGAACTGTCACTGTACCTCACGAACGTTAATGTGTCTCTGGGGCAAACTATGGACACAGAAAAGGTAAAGTCATTTTTAAATATAACAAGTGAGGTCATGGAATTACATACTTTGTTTTGTTGTAGACAACAGTCGAGATATATGATTCTACTTGTTCGTTGCATCTTAGTCTAGCGATGAAACTAGTTTGATATTAATACACATAATGTAAGATATAAATATGTAATAATGTAATTTATATCATATTAATGATATATAATAATGTGATTTATTTGAAGTCTATTTATCTAATTTAATTTACACAATGATAGTGTAATATAATATTAAGATCTTATAATGTAGTTTATATAGGCCTTTCTGTAACAGTGTGTAATGTTCTTGGTAAATTACATTTAAATGTATAAATTTATCTGCTGGTTTAGAGTTCTACAGTGGTGAAGGAGTTTGAAAATGTGGAACTTGGAGATCTGGGCAAAAAGAAGCCAAAGAGTCCTCGCAGAACAATCTACTTTGCGTCTGGTGAAACCATGGAGGAGTTCAGTACAGATGAAGAGGAGGAAGAAGAACCAGAGAAAGCGAAAACTTTAAGTACAGTGGATACGGTGAGTTGCATCAAATCGTTAAGTAGAAGTGTAGTTTCAGTTGTTTCTTTTTAATAATCTGAACATCTTAGTCGCTTTGCATCTCTGATTATAGTCAAAGTTGACCTGGGGTCCATATGTCTGGTTCCATATGTGGAGAGTGGCTACCTCATCCATCTCAGGTAATGAAACTCTTTCCATCCTGTGACATTTAATCATACAAAAACAGTCCAAAATGTACATTTCAACCCAAATATTTCAGTTTGTGACTATCTTGGAGAGAAAGTGGCCTCACTGCTGGGAATCACGACGCCAAAATATCAGTATGCAATTGATGAGTACTACAGGATGAAGAAAGAGGTATGTACGCCGCTACAGCCTTCATTTATTAGCTGATATTCTCAAACGTAGCATGCACAATTACTATTGTGCATGCTTTGAGAGATTTTGAACAGCATTCACATTGTGAGACCCTAATAATGTGTCATCCACAGGAGGAGGAAGAAGAGGAGGAGAACCGTCTCTCTGAGGAGGCAGAACATCGTTTTGAGGAGCAGCACAATCAGGAGGGCCAGCAGCCAAAGATCGAGCAACCAGAAGGAACTGCTTCTTTTGTGAACGTGACCTTTGAACTGGAGCAGGAATCACATGCTACATCTGATGCTAGTAAAGTGCCTGCCCCCATTCCCTCCTAAAATACTGTAGTTGATTGAGCATATTAGATGGTTTTTACCATATTAACCTTAGACATGAGGTGTGCTAGGTTTCTTTTTTGGAGGAGAAGTTTACATGAAGTTAAACATGAAGGTAACGTTGTTTATGCATAGCTGACAATGGTTCTGCTTTTAATGCAGAACTGTTTTATTAATTATTTCACAAGCCATACATAAAACTAGCATGGAATTCTGGCATGGAATAAAAATATATAATAAAAAAGTAATTGCGAATTTACCTTACAATTCTGACTTTTTCTCTGAATTTTGAGTTTACATCTTGCAGTTCTGTTTTTTTAGACAGTTTATAGACACCTAACCTAAATGTAAAGAAAAAGAAAACCTCACAACTGCAAGATATAAACTCGCAATTCTGAGAAAAAAAGTCTGAATTTTAAAGATAAAAAGTCACGATTAGCAACCAAGCAGAGTGCCCTAGCAACCATTTAGCAAGACCTATATCTCTGCATCAGAACATTGTGTAGACATGGGACTTGGCTCTTTTGACTCATGTTAGCAAGCAGGACTTCCAACATGCTACACATGCCAGCAGTGAATAGCTACATGCTAATAGCGATTAGTCATGTGTTAAAACATTATAAAAATTCTAGCTAATTGTTAAAAAATTATAAAAAGACTGCAGTAACTGCCCAAGTCTTGCCATGTTAAGCACCACTCACATTTTCTTCAGAAAATGTACATATTTTTTATTCTGTGGTGGAAATCATGTTCCATATAAAACCTCTGAGTCACTACAACAATTCATTGTACATTTTAATAATTATAAACACCTAAAAAGCCTAAGCTAAACACTACAACAACTGCATGGATTACCAATCTTTTACAATGCTGTAAAATTATAAAACTTATAATATTAGACATTTCTATGTTACTGGTGATGCTAGGAGTTGTCAAAAATAGAGTAAACTGTCAGATGGGAATATTCCCTCTTTCTTTCAGAGCTGACAACATTCAAGAAGTTATTTTTGTAACCAAATATTCTTTTTACGTGAACACATTATTTTTGGTGTGCATGTAAATGTGTGCTTTACCCATGAGATTTGAGTTCAATTTGTCCACCCCTCTGACACGCACAGAATAGAGAATTTCATTTTGAAGAGTGTTTGTGTACAATAGTTTTGTATTATGTAGGTGAAAACACACCTTACTTTCTATAATGTAGGTGAAAAAATACAGTTTGTTTTGTACATATTACAAATGAGCTATTCTGTGTATTCCTCTTGGCTGAAGTTTTGATTTGGCAACAGAATGTGATGTCACGTGTCATCTAAATCAGCTGTGTTGCTGTCAGTGTCATTAGCCACCAGCACCTCTCTGTTCTCGTAAGTCCAGAAGCCATTGAGGTCGATGAGGATGCTAGTGACGGTATCACCCTGACCGCTGTTCACCAGGTCCTGTAGTGTGACCTTATACGGATCTTTAGGCTTCACCATATCAAAGATTTCATCCTGTAGACATAAAATTTTGATCACCATTTTATGACCCAAAACACCCACTTCCCTACATGTTAATAGATTGCTTTATTACTATATAAAGGCCGTTTACCTTAACATCCTGGAAGGAAACTGGCTCCTGCCCATGGATTTTCATTTGTTCCTGAATGGCCTGATATGACAGATGAATAGGTTAGTTTCTGCTTAGTGTAAATATATAAAATACAGTACATATTTATAAAAAGCAAACATGTATTTTTGCTTGACTTCAAAAATGTTTCTTTACCCTGAAGAAGTAGTTGAGGGCAAATACATTGAGATAGCCTTTGTTTTCCATGTCCAATAGTTTGAATATATACTGGAGGGCCGCAGGCTCTTTCCTGTTCTCTAGAGCCAGCACAAAGTCTAGATAGGTCTTATAGTCCTAAATGCGGGTGTTAAAAAACCCATTACAAATTGCATGGTTATGTTTTTAGATACTGAAATTCCATGCTTATAAGAATATTATATGCCTATTTTCAGTGGCAAATGTCTGCTTGGATGTATTCAAGTGTAGTCTTTTTCCAGAGTAACATCATAACATTCAATTTTTTTTTATGTTGAAAGTCAAAAGTATACAAAGGTTTAAAATATAAGTAAGATTTTTAAAAAGAAATTAATCATAGTTTCCAAAAAAATATTAAGCAGCACAACTGCAGGACAACTGTTTTCAACATTGATAATAAGAAATGTTTCTTGATGACCAAATCAAGGCTGCCGGAAATTCAGCTTTCCCATCACTGGAATTTATAACATTTTAAAATATGAAAACAGTTAAAATATTTAAACATATTAAATATATTAAATTGTAATATTATTTCACAATTTTTACTGTATTTTTAATCAAATAAATGCAGCCTTGGTGAGCATAAGAGACTTTGAACAGACTTTTCAAAATTTGAACAGTAGTGTACATGTATATCTGGAAACAGGACTTGAACTCAGGTCTCCCTGCCCACAAAGCTATCGTTTGGACAGCAGACAACATTTAAGGGATTTTCTCTCATCTAAATCTCAGTCTAATGCAAATTATTAATTAAGACAGAGGGTTATACACCATTTCGCCATCATAGGTTAAGCATTCCTGGTAGACGCGATCTAGAAAAACACTAGTTAGAGTTCCTGTGCCATATCGAGACAGCTCTTCCTTACTGAGCATCCCATTATGGTCCTTATCCAAGTTGAGGTACTGACCTGTAAACAGGACATATGATGATTAACATATGAGATTTAACTTATATAACACTGATTAAGTGTGTTTTGCAGGCATACCATAAACTCAAAGAGCAGAAGGTGCAGAGAACCAGTTAGACTCCTGACTCTCTTTAGACAGCTCCTCGTCTCGAAGCTATAAATGAATAAATCGATTTGCACAATGTCCCAAATGCTGTTCTTTTGAACATTCTATTAATCCAAAATGTTCACAAAAATATTAAGCAACATCGATAATGATAAATATTTATTGAGCAGCAAATGAGCAGAATGATTTCTGAAGGATCTTTAAAAACTTTTTAAAGGTAGGGTATATAGATATTTTTATATTAGTAATAAAGATTCACTTGACTGAGAATCTATACGCTACCTCAAGTAGGTCATCCAAGAAACTGCGAGCCAGAATGTCCTGAATTTTTATCTTCCCTGCAGAGCAAGTACAAAACATTAGAATGATTCTTTTCATTCCAGTTTTTCCACAGGGTAAAATCGAAATAATGTCTGCAGGTGCTCTGACGTAAATTAAAAGGCAAATTGTAACAGCACAACCACAGGGGAATTACCAGTATGTAGAGGATCAAGGAAGAAGAAGAACTTGCGAACGGCAGTGCAAACATAAAACGAGTAGAAAGATTTCTCCAGGCCATCTAGTTGGGGGAGTGTGGGAATTAACTCTAGAATGTAGTTCTCCAAATCCTGCAGAAAGAAAGTCTTTACGTTAAACAACACAGCCTTAAGGCCCGTTCACACCAAGAATGATAACTATAAATATAACTATAAAGATAACGATATTAGCATCCACACCAGCAAACGATATCGTCTGTTTATTCTGAGCGCATGCTCGTCTGCCGCTTTAAATTCTCGAGCTCGTGACAGCAGGATTTAATCTGATTGGCTGTCAATATTTTTATCGTTCATCAGCTGGAAAAAATCGTTCTGAAAGTGATTCCAGCGATATCATTTCTCTGTGCCTTTATCGTTATAATTGTGGTGTGGACTCTGCTATTCTTTATTATTGAGAACGATTTTTAGAACTATATCTTTATCTTTATAGTTATCGTTCTTGGTGTGAACGGGGCTTTACTCCTAAGAAGATCAATACTGTAATTTTTACTGTGTTTCTGAGAGTAAAATGAGATTACTTACAGACTCACGGAGATAACCCTGACCTGCTACATCATAAAGACTCAAACCAATCCTGGTCTGGTGCATCCACACTGCAAGAGAAGAAACGCAGAGTGATTCATCTACACATCTCTATTAATATGTTCACAGTCATTTAAAAAGACTCATAATTAACTTACATCATAAGATGAGAATGCAATACCTTTTTTCATGACATAGTTGAAGAACTGCATAATTGATATCCTCCCATATGGATCATTATGAAGTAGTTTGGCGTAGACTTGGGCCGTGAAGAAAAGCCTGATGGGGTGTAATGATAGTGAAACAAGCATCTCAGTGAGTCATGAGCACGGTCCACCTACGAATCACACTGACTTAGAATAGAGTTATCGGCCAGTCATACTCAGGGTTTCGAGTGACAATCATTAAACACTATACACTTTTCTGTGATGCACTTACTTGCATTTGGCGCCTGCTTTTTCTCCAACCTTTAGGAAACTCTCATAACTGATTATGGCCTCGTCACCGGTCGTGGGCGGCACTTGATGCTTATCGAGAAGAAACCAAAGGTTCTGTAGGAAAGAACAAAAACATTTAATAACCCAACTAAAGCAGATAATGAATGTTTAGTTTGGGACACCGGCCCAATAAAATGCTCTCTTACTTGTAACTCTTCATTGTCCAGTAGTTCCCGGCTTTTCCTCTGGAGAAACACTGCCCTCGATTCTTCTCTGAGCTTCTGCAGCAAGACTTCATCTTCTGCAGGAAGCTGATATGAAATATTGGAGTGTTAAGATTAAGAAGGCGATACGTACACCAGTGTTCAAAAGTTTGGGGTCAGCAAGATTATTTTTAAAGAAATTAATACTTCTATTAAGCAAGGATGCATTAAAGTGATCAAAAGTGACAGTAAAGACATTTATAACGTTAAAAAAAAGAAAGTTCATTTGAACTTTCCATTCATTACAGAATCCTAAAAAAAAGGTATCACTGTTTCCCAAAAAAATATTAAGCAGCACAACTGTTTTCAAAAGTGATAATAAGAAATGTTTCTTGAGCAGCAAATCAGCGTATTAGAATGATTTCTGAAGGATCATGTGACACTGATAACTGAAATGTATCTTTCATCACAGGAATAAATTACATTTTAAGATAGAAAACAGTTTTTTTTTTAAATTGTAATATTTCACAATATTACTTTTTTACTATATTTTTGATCAAATAAATGTGTGTTCTCTTTACTGATTAGAGCGTGATCAGCTCACCCTGTAGTAGAAGCGTGGGATGTGTTTAAATGAGTCATCTTCTCTTTTTTCGCCTCCTTTCCATTCACTATAATACTTGGTGAACAATTCCGTTTCCTCTGCTTTCTTCTCCTCCTCTGTTCTGCCATCTGTTCAATACAAAGAAAGATTTCAACACACATTATGATTATTCACACTGTACAGACCTCCTCCATATTTTACTATTCATAGTAAAATCAAAGTAATCATTAGCAAAACCATGGATGGCTCCTCATTACCATTCCTACTGTATGCAATACTTGTTCATGTCTCCATTATTTACGGTCTTAATATATTAGATAAACTACTAAGCGTTTAAGTAACGCTTCAAATGTTTTACTACGATTTTACATATGGAAATCATATTAGCCAAGTTTTCATTTATCACAATATTACAATTAAATAAATACATAATTTATAAAGTCAAGCTTAATTGTCTAAACTTGACCAGGATACTTGTTTAAGTCTGGTATACCTTTTAGAAGTACTTCTATAATTTACAGC